AGAGAGAGAGAGAGAGGGGGGACAGAGAAAGGTAAATGATGATTTAATCGTAAAAAAAAAAAAAATTTTAATGTAAAAAAGATGTCTTTAGAAATAAGACATTCTTAGTTGATCATAAATGACCATAAAAAGGTTGTCATCTTAACAAAATCAATTCTTTGCCATTTAAATAGCAATTCAAATTTATCCATTCCTTCACCATTAAATTATACTCAAAATTACAATCAAATATTTCATTTCAATTGCTAATTGATTTCTTCATCGAAAAGATTTCAATTTGTTAATAACTACGCGAAATATTCCCATTTCAATTAATTAATTTCAAATAATGACTTGTTAGTAATCCTTCAAGTAAACAAAATAGAAGGAAGAATAAAATGAGAGAAAGAATGAAAGGATGAAGTGAAGTCCAATTTTATATCATTTAGAAATTAATAAACAATTGATTGCTTAACAATAAAACAATTTGTGAAATTTAATTTCATTCTTTTTTTCATACATTTTGACTGATTATGTAATTATTCTAGTACATTAATCATTTTATAACTTGCAAAAATAAATAATCGAAACAGACTATCTACAAAATCCATTTCTTCCTCATACTACAATACAACGAATGAATAAATTAAATAATTTGGTTCATTTCCCTCATTGTTTTTTTTTTTCTTAATTCATTTTTATTTTCATTTTTTTTTTTACTTCTATATTTTCATCATTTTATTTTTACAACCCCATATTAAATTATTGAAATATTGCTTATTAGCATAAGTAAACACTGTTAGCTAACATTTATGATACAGTAATACTCTTTCAGTCGGAATATTCCTTTGATAAAATCTTTTCTTCACAAAACGTTCCACTTAATTAGCTTAAACAGCTTTATCGAATCATATTACGATGGTATTGGAGGATGTTCGGATCATATTTTTATGCTTCCTTGCAAAATTGCAAAACCCACCATAATCAGTTGAATGTATTTAGTTTCCCGAAATTATTTCAATGAAATTGGCATTTAAACAACTTTATAGAATTCGAAAAAAGAGAAAAGATCCCTCTGAGATATACCATTTAAAATATCACTTTTTCCATCTTCTCAATAGATCATTGTTTACAATTGCAGAATAAATGCGCGTAAATATTCGTCGAATTCGGATGAAATTTGGATGCATTCACGCGACACAGATAATCCCTTAAGCGTGTCCATGTACGTCAATTCTACCTTGTCGGTTCCATTCCTCTCCTCTTTTATACTTTATTACTGCTCAATCATTAGTCAAATGCATTTATTCATCTCATCGTAAAAATACCAATCAAAGTAGTTAAACATAAAGTACAATGCATATAATTACAATTGACTGTAAAATATTTATGAGTAAAAATGTGTAATATTTTTAAATGAGGGGATAGTTGAAAGTATACTGTTACGTATATTAGATAAGTTAATGTTGGGATAAATGCAAAAAGTTAGTCATAAGAATGACTTTAAAATAATAGAAAAATTATATGTATAATTTCCTTTTTTACTATAATTGTTCTTCAAAATAACAAAGATTTAAAATACAATCGAAGAGCTGGTTCAAAACCAGCATAATCCATGCGATATTACTAGAAATTAAATGCAGTAGCACAATTTAAAACTTTTGTGGAAAATCACATTGAGTGAAAAAGTTCAAACCAAAATATATCGAAGGTTCTCAAAAAGTCTTAAATGTATTTTGCTTTGAACGAAAAGAAGAATAAAGAACTGCTCCTAATACAATCCGATACCTTAGAACAAAATCTAAACTTGTACTGCTGCTATGAAATTAGATGTCGGAGGCAAAATTAACTGTTTTATCTGAAAAAAAAAAAGAAAAAAAACTAGATCCTTACAAAATCATGCAAATTATCAATGAGATAAAAAAAAGTGAAGTAATTTATAAACAAAGCAGCTAGGAGAAATTAAACGTTACTTTGAATGATATCAGCAAGATAATGCCCTGCTCTATTCTCATTGCATCATTCATGATCGATGTCAGTGGGACTAAGTCACAACAGCCAAAATAGTTGGGTTAATATACCGGCATCGAAGACAAGAATCACTTTTAACTTGATGCACTAGGCTATTTAACCAGATTTTCTGGTGAACTTTTCCTGCTTTTCTATATCTAGATCATTGCATGATCTAGGCATAGAAAAAAAAATACCTGACCAAAACTGAGCATGTCCTAATTAATATAATATCGTCGACAAAAATAATGACAATCAAATAAATTTCAAATTTGATGGAAAAATCTATGTAGGACTTAAACGTTGTGGAGGTGCAGATATACGTTTTGTACTTCTCAATGATAGAACTTCCGCCTGAAACAGTTCGAATTTCGAGCTAACTTTTTCAAAATGATGCTGGAAAAATGTTTTGTCACTATAATTTTTCTCATTGCAAAGGATATTAAATGAAAATTCTAGAAAAATACGGATTTAACAATACACTTCTAGTTCTTACAGACTCTACATTTACCAAGGAGAATAAAGTTAATTAGTTAAAATTCTTTTTTGCTCTAAGAAGTGTGAAAGAAAGTAAAAGTATCTGAGTAAGGAATAAAATTACAAGTGACAAACTCAAGAAAAAAAGACGCTGAGAACATCCCTACTCTTTTCGCGAATACTATACCTCGCAATGAATCAGTTTAAAGCAGTCTTGATAAAAAAAGTTTCCAATATTTAGAATATGTTCAAAGCTTGTAGTAACATACTTGCAAAGGACTTTGTTGAATTTTCAACATTTTGTCACTCTCAGCATCTTCCAGCGTTTTTGAATCATCTCGAGCGAGAAATACCGGTTGGTTCGAGACCTAAAATACATAAAACACACAATCACTTTGATGGTTCTCACCAACAATAACTTGGAAAAAAAGAGGGGAAGCAATAATAGCAAAATGGTTTGAAAAAAATACAAAAAAAATAAAAATAAGTGAAAATAAAAACGTATGATGAAACAAATGACCTCGGAGGGAGATGCATCCTGTCCATTTGAAGCAACATCGATGTTTTCATCATCCACGTCTAATCCTTCCAATTCGTTGGCATTTGAAATCAATAGATTATCTAAAATTGTTCTAATGTAAATTTGAGACTTGATAAAAACACGAAAGATATCATCAAGAAGCAGTGCTAATGTCAAGAAATAAATGAAGGAGATCGAACAGTATTCTTTTTTGGGGGAATAATTTAAAAAATTATTGCACGACTAATCATGGTGGAAAAACTGTTGAAATTAATCAGATAATGAAAAAAAGAACTGTTTAGAAAGAACCAATCAATCTCCAACATTTCCACTGATAAGAGCCTACATCAAGGAATCGTAGTTCTGATTTTCTCATATTTACATAAACAGAGAGATGATTTTTAGAATCTCAAAAAGAAAATTGAAATAATGTCGGGAGCTGAACAATTACACTTCATATTCATACTAAGCTTAACTTCGGCAACAACTTCAATGTTACACTTTCCATATGTTGTCAGAAGCCATAAAGATTGCAGAAAGTTCCAAAATGATTCTCATGGTATTATTAAGATTCAGTTCACTGTTATGTCAGACCTATTTATTTGCAATGAGCCATCTATTTTCGATATTTCTAAGTATATGCATGCTATCATTCAGACAGCAAGTTTACCAGAAAACGAAATTAGAAACCTTTCGGTTCATAGAGTTCTACTGCTTGATATCCATACGAACGCTCAGCGGGAAGCCTCTGGAAATACCAGAAGATAAAATCGACCATCGAAATAGTAATAAATAAAGAATTTAGGGTAAATATGAAAGCCTAAAAGACGTAAGTAATATAACTAACCGAAATCATGGAATTCCCATCATAAACAAAATTTGAATAGCAAGCGTTACCATACTGAACCTACAAGCGTATAACGAAATTCAAATCTTTTAGCGTGTGATATGGAGTTTTAAAATTTTAAAGAATACTTCCCATAGCATGATTCCACTTCTGAAAATCTAAGCTGATAAGACTACACATCAGAACTAACCTGCAATCGCCTCCTTTTCATTGTAAGTGCTCCAACATCATAATCGAAGTGTACATTACTCTGCTGGTCTTCTCGTCCTAATAATGAAGTTGGATTCGATGAACTCGGGAAAAGTTCGATGTAACGACCTCCTACAATATCAAAAATAAATTTTTCGACTGCGATGAATATGGACAACATATAAACTATTTTAAAAAACACTTAAGAATGGACCTTGGAAAATCCAGCGAGAGCTTGAATGATCGACTTCAGCCTTCATCCGTTTTGGAATCGTAAGCAATCTAAAAATCACAGCTAAATTATGATTATTGACAAAGTGAAGAACAAGAAATAAAGTACAGTGTTTTAATAGCCGATAACACAAACTTCTTTTGGAAGCATGCAATAGGATAACTAATATTCAAGAGTTAATTTTACCAAAGAAAGCGTTACAGTGAATGATCTTATAGTTCTCACAAAATATGACTTTAAAAGAAAATAGAAAATTCGCACCTTCGCTCCCCGCTTGCTGCCAATTTAAGTACAGGTGCAGCTGAATTCTGGAAAAAAAGTACAATCATTTGAAAAAATTCCAGGTCTGACCACTGTTAACGACACATGCCACCTGAAAGGAAAAGTTAATCTGAAAACGAACTGTAATAACGACTAACCTTTGAACGTGACATCGGCGTCTCCCGTGGTGTTCCCTTTAAGCGAGAATGATAAGGACAATTCATTTTAAGCCGTTGGCAACAAGCTTGCGATAATTTATATGGACAATTCTTATTATAAGCTATTTCGCAGAAGTCATAGCCGCATTTGCATTGAAATTCCAATTCTCGACGTCTTACTACAAAAAACCTTTTGTTTTAAAAATTCTATCTTTGCATAAAAGGATAAATATAATTGCGGTTTCGATTTTTTTTTTTCAGCAAAAACACTGCGTATATTTTCAGGCATGATGAAAATTTCAACTTATTAGAACGAATGCATTATAATAACAAATAAGGAAAATTAACATACCGACATTCCTACGCCTTGCAAGATCAGCAGTAGAAGGAGCGATATCGTAAGGTGAAACCCAAGCTGACGGAGAGCCTAAAACATTTAACTTGTTTGACTGGAATAAACTCTTAAACAATCAAAATCGATAAGAAATTAAAACTTTTCAACAGATTGAGGAAAAGAGCGAATTGAAGACAACACTTTTTTCTCTAGAACGTGAGTTCATAGGTCAAGACTAACTCGCATCATAAAGCAATCATCGTTGCCTTTTTTTGTATTCCAAAGAAATAAAGAATTAAAAGAAATAAAATTAACCTTCACCGGGCCATTGGTTCGGTGGAAGATGATCAACATCAATAATATCATCCCAGTAGCATACTTTATACATGAAATCCGGATTCTGATAATCCACTTCAACAATGCTTGCCCGGTAATAACGTGACTCATTTTGACGCCTTTTTGGACGATCCATACATGTTTCTTCTTGCTCAAAGTTCCGAAGCTGTAATCAATTCAATAACTTTTTCTTTTTTTTAAAGAAAGAGCTGGAAGGACTTAATAAGGAGAAGGAAACCAAGAAGCTGATATTATATAACAATATCACGACATACAACAATCAAAAACTTACATACACACAATCACCGACTTCATAGAGATAACCAGTACCCGGATCGACAACATGACCTGCGTCATTGAATTTTGCTGGATAACGGCCAAGTATACAGGAAATTTTAGCACGATTACTAGATACTTCGCTTAAATAGACACTGGCTAATCTTTCCTCAACTTCAGGTCGTCGTGGAAGTGGAGTTGAGCGTATCATACACATTTCCTGCATTTTACAGAAAATGAAAATATTTTTTTCCTTTACTCATTTCGAAATAATGCTTTTTCTGTCATATAGGTCAAACAAAAAGACCTTCACAAGCCTTAAGTGAAAGAAGCAAAGTAAGACTAGACAGATAAAACATAATTAGCCTAAAGTAACAAAACTAATAAAAAGACCTAATTATAAAGTTAACAATTTAACAAAAAGCAATTAGCTTACTGTTGCACCGCTTATACTCTCCACACGATTTTCTTCCACATATCCTAAACTTAAGAACAATAAATATAAGAAATAACTATCACATTCGTTTAAATTAAATCAAAAAAATGAATTTCACTTTATTACATGTACCTTACCTTCCCAATTCATGGCTCAGAACGATATTCTGATCCTCTTACCTATGCACCAAATACCCATCTTTCGAAGTATCATATTGCCAAACGTTCAACCATTCATACAATTTCATCTGCCGGTTGAACAATTAGTGGAAGATAGAAAAGTGTAAGAAATGCATAAATGATGACAGATGACAGATTTATCGCTAACCTTCCGTTTCATTCACATTTTCGCCACAAGCACCGCGCACCCATGGTGGAATACTATGATTTCGCCAAGGCCTTCGACCAAATATAATCTAAATGTACGACTACTTATACGCAAATCTATGACCATCTTTTTCTCTTTCAATTTCTTAAACAATGAATGAGGAAAAATAAAATAAAATATTACCTCAAACGGTGAGATTCGAAGATCACCGAAACATTTCACCGGAGTCTGATTATAATCTATAACAGCAAATGGAAGTGCTTCAACCCAACGTTCCCGGCCACCAAGTTCTTGCGCTGCACGTTTATACATACTGGCACACAGATTAGCATGATTCATTACCTGGAAAAATAATCTGAAACATAACCTGAAGACAACTGATAACTTCCAGTGATACAGAATGATCGGAGTTCAAACATCATAAAATCGTAACCAAAAATATTTCTGCAGCAGCAACATATGACGGAACGTATAGGAAAGGAAGGAAGAGGAAAGTATATCTATTTTCGGAATTGGTGTGACAGTGGAAATATTACATTTCAGGCAAAAAGAAGATATTTTCAAAAAGAAACTTTTCACCATTTGACGGTAAAAGTGTGATATTACACAAATCATGGTTACTTACACCGTGTCCAATATTTTTAATTTCAATTTTGAACAATTTCTCGATATCTGACATAACAAGTCCAATTACTTCATCATTTGTGTAAGTTCGATAAGCTTCTAAAATTGAAATTCACTTCAGCAAAATGCATTTAATTTATGCAAAAAATGGAAAAATATATCACAAAGAAGTCGGGAAACAAAGGGAAAATACATTTCGCAAGAATATGTTTACCCGGTGGGGCAAAAGCTCCAAAAATATCCATTAAATGTCGGACAAGTAACGAAGTGTCTGGTGCCTCGGCTAATGCTCTTCCAAATACAAAATGCGAATAAAGATCGGTTACAATCAATGCCATTGTGTAACAACGATCCCCATATTCCGAACATTCCATTTCAACCATATCGATCTTAACTATTGGATAAGTAAAAGTAAGTCTTTTGAGACTTAAGATTTTAGAAAAGCAAGTCATTTGAAAAAAAATGTACTAAAAGATCGACAGCAAATAACGAACCAATTAGGGTCTATGAGAGGATCTAGTATAGTTCTATACACACTAGATCATACCACACTAGCAGTGAGATTATCACTTGAAATATCTCAGCAATCCTAATGAACTGATATAAAAAGAGAAATTCTCTACTGTATACATCAAAATCTAATCAATGAAGACCTGACATGATAGAGATAAAGGGAGTGATCAAAAACATGATATTATGAATAATACAATAAAACACAGCGCATTAAAAGAATTAAAATGAGAGCATTATTCAGAAAATAAAAAATTTGTACAAAATTAAAGTAGAAATCTGACAAACCTGAACATATTGCATAGGTTTGCTCCCTATACAGCGTGGTCTGCTAGGGAACTGTACTCTTGATCCCTTCAACAGAATATCTTTTGTTGCTGCTCGCTGTTTTGTTTTCAAACTCACACCCACGTATCTTTCCTCCAGGTAAGTTAACATTTGCTTTTGTGTGCAATCTGGCATTGTTTCGTAACATCGTCGCCAAATCTGGAAAATATATAAAATGAGACTGAAATAAATTAAGACACAAAAAGTAACTACATTATTAACAAAATAATACATCATCAACTTCACTAATTCGTGGAACAATTTTGCCAGAATCACGCAATCGAATACGCCAACCAGGTGATAGAAATTCATTTGGCTCTGACCAGTACTCGCCAATAAGTAGCCCTCCCTTCATCCGCACCTATAAATAAGCATGACGAGCCTCATAACATTATGTAATCGTTGTTACCAAAACGAGATTATGTGGAGAAGAAAAGAATTTATAATATGCAATTTTTGTACTAAGTCTTCTATTTTCTGCAAAAAGCAAAGATACCTTAATGGCTTCTCTCAGAACAACATTTTCAACATCATCGATTTTTAATTTCCTGGTCAGAATTTGTGCCAATATATCATATTCATTATCCGGAATAGCCGTATTCAACAAATTTTGGGTCATCCCTAACAAAAAATTTGGTGAAATACAGTTGGGAGTAAAAGTTGACTCACGCTTTTACTAAAAGAACTACTACGCTGAATCTCCATATACGATGTTTCATTAACAGATGAATTAAATAACAAGACTGGAAAATTATATTTCAGATACAGCAGAGGAGATCAGTCTATGATTGCATAATCTGCTTCAAGTTGTGGTTGGCTTACTAGAAATCCATAAACAATCATACACAATTATAAATTGTCACCTTCAAATTATCAGGATTTTTCATACAAGAAAATCAACCTTTCTTTCGATTTGCAAAATCTGAACTGGTTCCAGGCAATACGGAATCATTGGACATACCTTCACCAGCGAAACCTTGAGCGACAGAATCACCCAAATGTGGTACCACATAATCTACATCGTCTTCTCCTGCTGTCACCAAACGACTTAAACAATCCATCAGCGTATTGCGTAGCTGAAATAGACTTTTGTTACTTCCTTCTTGTTTGATTCAATCATTAACTTTGTATATTACTTTGCGACTACCATTTAATGGTACAACGAAGGAAAAATTGTTGTCCTAGAATATCTTCTCGAATCTAATTTTAAAAACATTTGAAAAGACATTTTTGAATATATTACTTATGCATATGTTTCATTCCCTGTCAGGGAATGATAAGATTAAGAGGCTAAGTTAAGAAGCTAAGAAATCATCGCATGATAATTGAATAATTGACCAACTCTGATAACAGAAGGGAATCCGATGTAATTTTTCTGCAGTAGTTGCAAACAGGCACCAATTGGATGTTTGTCATTTTTAAACCGTGCCACAGCAGATTCTATAACTTGTTCACGCTGTTCGCTGGTTAGCAAAAGTCTTATAGAAGGGAGATGAACGATCACGTAATCGAGATGGCCAAGGAACTCATCGTCCACGTCACGTGCTACCTAAACAATAATTTTTTCAACACTAACTTCTACTGTGTTGAGAATATTTCTATAAATTCCATTTTTTGTAATAGCTAAAGAGAACTTTAAAATCCAATCATTTTCTTTTCATTTTTAAAGACAAAGAAAGACAATAATATGAATATATAACGAATTTAACGGACAGTATAATCATCTCCTTGCACCATAGCATCTAAAATTTGTTTATGTTCTTCAGTTGGTGGAACCACTTCCCCGCCAGTCATCAAAATAATAAAATCCGAATAAATCGAATCCGTAATCTGATCTACCTGCAAAATGTTTAATTATCACCACCTTCAAGTGATTTCCGAAGTTTAAAAAAGACCAGTGTGAAGTTCAATAAGAAATAAAAAATAAGGGAGGTAATGAAAGAATACAATTAACTTTCCCAAATAATAAAATAAACCAATCACTTACAGTAATTTTGGATGTACTGCTGCCCATGTCGGGCAGTAATTCTGAAAACAATAGGATTTTGGATAAATAAATAATATAAAAGCACATAAGACAAAATTTAAATCTTTCCATGTTGACTCCTCCAAGCAGAGAATTGAAATAATTACTTACAAAAAGAAACCTACAGACGAAATTTGAACTGATCGTAAATCCGAACCAAGATTTCAGAACACTTTGTTTTTTCCTGCCATTCCCAAACTCAGAACATCTAAGAGACTGCTAACCCTTACATTGTTAAAATATCGTCCCTCGATAAATTTTTATTCCAAAAAAAAAACTAATCGAAACAGAAAGTCACAACATACTTGTTTTCGGAATAACCTGATACATGAAATGAGGTTGTGCAAAACGCAAAGAAGCAGATTCGTTCGGATAATGATCAATCCTACTGTTGCCTGTACCGCAAGATGATTCCTGAGAATTACAATCAAGAATACTAAAAAAATGGTACAATTCTGTGTATATCTTTTAAGAAACAAGCAAAAAAATAATCAGTTAGATGAATATATTCTATTATTGTGAGTAAGTTTTTCGATGACGAAGTTAGAGAATATTCAGGCATTAAGCCGAAGATAAACCATAAGCCAGAGATAAGTAAATTTAAGCCATCTTCGATTCATCCATTCAATCCATTAAATTCAAAATGCTTGATAAAGTCAATGCTTTTTAAGTAAATATTAGAAATACCTTTATGATCTGATCATCTTTGATTGACGTAGATTGACCAGTTGAATCATTCTGTTCGTCGATGACAACACTAGCACCAACAGCTGGCATACATCCTGAATCCAATATCTGTTCTTCGTCTTCCTCTCCTTCCTCCTCCTCACCTAAGGATATGGAAGCTGGATCAAGCAATGCCATATAATCTGAATAAAAAAAAAAAATAAATTGTTGTAACACATTACCATCATGGCCGGAATGGATACATGACAATTTTTAACATTTTCGCCGTGAAGTGACCATGATTTATTAAGAAAATATACGGTAACACCAAATTTACAAGTACATTAGATGGCTCAAAAATGAGATGGAACAGCATTAAGTTAACTGTCACTTAAATTATCAAAATTTATTCGTGGGATAAAGTTGACTCAATTAGTTAAATTTTTCATCCATATTAGCATACTACCTTTCAGATATGTAAGTTGACGTGATTTATTCATACATCCTGAATCCAATATCTGTTCTTCCTCTCCTTCTTTCCTTAGGTTCACATTATGCATCACATTCAGGTCTTTTTCCACATTAAACCAATATGGATAAAACAGTCATCCAACAAAAAAGGTCAAAAAACAAAATATATGCAAATCAAAAAAAAAAGGGGAATGTGAAAAGTTCTGGAAAAGTTGTTAAAATTAGTGAATTAAAAATGGAAAATAGTACAAACAGAGAATAGAATGGCGAAATTAGACAAGGTAATCTAAAGAATAGGATTAAGAGAATATGCGAAAGTAGTTTAAAGCACTGATAAAATGCAAATGAGGAAGTATTAGCTCTCAAAGGACAACAAAGAAAGGTCCTAAAATGATAAAAATGACAAATATTGCAAGGTTCCAGGTGGAATAATCCTGAATAAACAATCCTACAAAGTACAACGAATTCATTAAAACTTTTTAGCAAGACGTCCCCGAACCCGAAACGGACAGAGAACCTTTAAGTACTTTGCTCCGTTTACTGTAAATTTCTGTATTTTTGTATTGTTGTCGGTATTTCCGATCATAACAGTCAGTGCTTATCTTCCCGGCACGAATCTTATCGCTTCCCAGTCATAATGGAATACGGATTTCCATATCTTCTAGGGTAACGATCACGGACTGCTATATCTACCCAGTATAACGGAACATGGATTCTTATACCTTCTAGGATAACTGAATCACGGACTCCTTTATCTACTAATAAAGAATTCTTAGAAGTATTTTGCGCATCATGATACAGAATCTCAAGACTTTCTCTACTTTTACCTCAAATTTCGGTAATTAAATCAAATGAATGAAACAGTATTAGCTTAGCATAATCATTAAGAATTATAAAATACAAATTAACGCATTAAGCTAACTGCAAAAACGTTGCTACAAGTAAATCTTGAAGAGACCAATTTAGAGAATAAATGAAAAGAAGAATAATGACGACCTTCTGCTATTTGTAGGGTTTATATGTTTATCGTTTAAGGATTAATTTAACGTTTACAAGGATTAGCGCCTTTGTTAGCTCATGCTAATAAAGCACTCTTTGTTAGCTGCTATACATTATTGTAGGGCTCTTTGGATACATTGCTAAACAATGAGCATATATACAATTCTATGCAGTGACTCATACAGAGACTTTGGATGATTTTTAATCTTAATTAAGATTAGACATTATACGTGCAGATTTGTGCATCACTATACATTTAATTATTCTTTATATTTGTCTATTCTTTATATTCCTTATATTTCTTTATATTTGTTTTTATCACAGAACTTCGTATTTACTCGAGACAGTAATATAGTGGAACACGGGCTCTCCCTATCAGTTAATGTAACGAATCACGGATTTCCTTACTTTCCGGTGTAACGGATCACGGACTTCTCTACTTATCAGTATAACGGAACACGGGCTCTCCCTATCAGTTAATGTAACGAATCACGGATTTCCTTACTTTCCGGTGTAACGGATCACGGACTTTTCTACCTATCAGTATAACGGAACACGGGCATACAATACAGTGATGGCAGAGTAGATCATTTGTTATTAAAATTCATTACAGAGAATGAAATATGTTGATAGAGGAGTGGACGTCATTAATGCAAGATTTTCCAGATCATGCAGTTGAAACGCTAACCGATTATTAACGATTCATCTTTTGGCAGTTTCAAATGCGAGCTGTGATACAACGTGTCACGAAAGCTGCGGTGTCCATTGATGGCCAGTTGGTCAGTACTGCCCAACTTTCAAAATTAGCTTTTTAATTTTTCTCTCGGGCCGACAATTCCCAAACATTCTATTGATATTTTTATAATAATTATTTTCATTGTATTCACCATTTTAGGAGTCATCGATTGATCGAGGAATATGTGTTCTATTGGCTATCAGTGTTGAGGATACCTCGGATGATATACAGTATATGGTGCGGAAGTTGTTAGGTATTCGAATGTTTCCAAATATTGAGACAGGTAAACGATGGGACAAGAGTGTTAAAGACCTTGGACTTGAGATACTGTGTGTAAGTCAAGTAGGTTTCATTTATAGAGCGAAAAAAAAAGAATAGAAATGTATTTAATGTAAATTAAATTCTCCTCAAGAAATATCTCAAAATTGTTGGACTTGAATTAAAGTTAAGTGTAAGGTCAAGTTTATTATACTTCATTCGTTATATTATTTGGAATTTCTTTGTTCACAGTAGTTCATTTTTCAGTTCACATTGTACGGTTTGTTGAAAGGCAATAAATTGGACTTTCATCGATCGATGGCTCCCACAGAATCACACCAAGTTTATCAAAATTTTATAAGTGAGCTGAGGAAGGCATATGCACCTGAACGGATAAAGGTTATTTCTGCTTTTACAAATGTGTTTTGTTTACTCGGCTCTTTCCTATGGTGTTATACTGTCTCCGATTTTCTTCAACCATGACAAAGGTTGAACGTTCTTCCTGCCTCCTTGATTGGTAGTACCTCAAACTTGGGTGGTTAAATCTTTATTGCGATAAATTTGTCAATACAACGACAAACTCAACAACTACGGCTTCAGTATGACAAATTAATGACAACAACATTGTGAAAAGGAAACCAATGACGGTTGAATCGTCTATCCAGCCGACCTCGTTGAAATACATCTTGAGAAATGCTCTTAATGTTCATGACCTTCCTGGTGGGATTCTGATACTACAAGAATTGGCGCATTTGTAAGCACATGTGTCTTTGTTATAGCACATAAACACATGGATGTAGTACTATTTTAGCTTACATACATTATATCCACGTATACTACATATTATACCCAAGGTATCAAACCAATAGCAAGGGAATTACTGATTCACTGATTTTCTTCGCAATTTCAGCGAAATGCGCCATACTTTTGTGAAAATTAAAAAAGTTGAATCCTTCAAACATTCCGAACAGAACATACTGTTTAGAATGTAAAGCAAAAATTAAGCAGTCGATGAAATGATATTTAAATTTATAGGATGGTCGTTTTGGTGCAATGATGAATGTGCAGATTGAAAACGATGGTCCTGTCACTTTCATTTTGGATAGTAAAATCAAAGAGTAATGATTCTGCCTGCATAAAACGTGATATCTGAAGTAATATTAATTGCAGTAATTTAGTCATGTACTGCCTCATAATTATTCCGTTTGGAAATTTTTTTTTTTTTCATGTATTGCCTCATAATTATTCCGTTTGGAAATTTTAAGAACTAGCTATTTGTGAATTTCAAGATGTTATCCCACTACAGATTAGTTGTTTTATTTGCATAACGAAAATAATCGTTCCTGTTAGTGCCCAAACAATATCAGTTTCTATTGTCAGCAAATCTAGAATTAACTTAGTAATAGGATTGAGTCAAGTTGATGCAGCGGTTTCAGTTTTCATCTTTTTTCATATTTTTATTATTTGCTTTTGAAACATTTAATTTTTTTTACATGAATGTTTGCATTGCTGGTATTGAAATGAAATTTGGAGCAGGAATGAAATTTGTAACCGGAGTTGGAAATGTATTTTTTGGAGATCGTGTTTGCAAAAAAAAAGGAAAACTACAAGACATTTTACCCGAATTACAACCACTATAAAAACGAAATGGAAATAACCATTGTCGAATGAACGAAAGGTTGGAACAGTGCTAATAATAATATTCATGGTGATAATAATATAAGGAAATAAAAAGAGAACATTTATTAGGGTAACATTAACAAAAATTCTGTTTTTTTTTTCTTTCAAAATATTAATGAAGCACTTCAAAATGATGAAAAGAAAAAAAAAGTGGGAATCAATACAACCAAAATGAAAAGACCTGAAAAATGGAACCAAATAAAATTATCGGAACAATAAACAAAAGATTTTAGAGGGAAGAAAGGAGCATTTCAAATAATATAGCTTAATTAGCGGTTGGATTATTTTGCACTAAGTGGCATTTCATTTGGAGATCAACAATACATTTCAAGAAAAAAAAAAGGAAAACATTGAAATTAACATATTTAACATGGACGAAGAGTAAGAAAAATAGTAAGAGAGGGAGGGAGAGAGAAATACACGAGATGGTTTTAGCGCTCTTGTCTCGTCTTTTTTCCCTCATAAAAAGATCTTTCCGTCTCATTAATCATTCCTGAGTTCTTGGCTAGTGATTTCTTCTCTTTTGTTTTGTTGTTCTGGTTTAAGCACTTACGTAGTATGACGTATAAGTCACTGTCCAAAGGCAAATTTTTCCATTTTCTATTTTTTTTTAATTTAACAGTATTAATATGATTTTATTAGGCCATTGAGCAATATAAATTGCAATTTAACTGTTCAAGAATTTCATTAACATTTCCTCTTCCCATCAACCTAATTAAGGTTGACATGTTGAGGTACAGAAACTGATGGGGCACCATTTTGACCGGTTGAAGTGGCGATACTTGTTGTGGCCGATGGTGATGAGTTTTGTTGGGATGATGAATTCTGGTTTGTTCCAGCCTGAAAATAAAATTGAAACTGTTTGATATCAAGAAAGTTATGGTTCTTATAGGATAAATCAATAACGAATAAATCAAAATAATTTTATATCCAATCAAGTTACTGTATTAAATTATAATATTTAATTAGACTGCTAATTACTTAATTACCTGACTGTTGCTGTTTTGTACGAGTGTTGAAGTGGCAGAATTATTTGCTTCTCGTTCCTTTTTAAATTGTTCAAAATCATCACCCAATATGGTTGCAATTTCACCCTGCATAAATGCCCATGGCATATGTGACCCAGCCAATGGGCATTTTTCACCCGATGGACAGTACACTTCCTAGATGAAATTTAATGAAGAATTTAAAAAAAAAAGAGATAAACAACCAAAAGTAGAAATGATTCTTTTAATGATACATCTTTTACTAGGCTTTTTTCATTTTTGTCAATTAGTATGATGAGATCAATATACAAACCTGAGCACTTCCCTGTTTCTTAATGCTTTCACGTGAGCATGGGAAGCAGAATTTATGTCCTGAGACTGAAGGACATTGCACAAAATGAGTATCTTCAAGGCGTTCATGGCATAAAGTGCACTTCACTATTCGATCACTACTATAATTAATCTTTTAATTAATCTATGCTCGAATTCAAATATCATCAAAAAAAAAAACAAATCTAAAATCATTCCATTTTCTCTCATTTCTCATCTTTTCTTTTTTGAAATATTCAAAGAAATTACTTTTGTGAATTACTAAAGCTTCGTCTATTATTGGAATTATTATTTGGATGGTCGGGACTATGTGTTGACGTTGGTGACGCTGAAGTTGTTTGCGCATCTCCTGTAAATATAACATGTAAAATGTTTTCATATCAATATGTTATCCATTATTCTTTTATGTAAATATTTACAAAAATTATAATTTTATAGACAACATTTTAAGAAATATTTATAATGTTATAATTAATTAATTCATTGGAATTGTTTGAATTACAGTAAACTTTTCTTTCCCGTAGAATTTATTCATTCATATATAAATGAATGTATAATATTATATGATAATATGTTAATATGGATGATAATATCTGTTAATTTATATTTATTAATGTTACAAATTTGTTATTTCTTAATAATTTTGCAAAAATTTGCAATTTTTTTTTTTTCATATTCCTTAATAATTTTTGCAATTCAAAGTTCTTTTTTTTCTGAAGGAAACTTTTTTCAAAATTTTTTTTTAAAATGAATGTAAATTTGAAAATTCAAAGATTTTATTAAAACGATTTCAAACAATTTGCATTTATTTCATCTTGATTGATCCATTCTAATGATAATTTGTATCCGATGAATATCTATGTGATGAATACCTTCCTGAATATCTATATGTGATCTAATCAATTCATTCAATATTTTATGACAAATGTATTCCAGAAAATAGATGTTTTCGTTCCTTTTTTTTTTTATAATTCAGGAATACTTTATTACCGTATTTGCTAGTAATTTATCGGTAATGAAGGAAAGAGGGAGATGATTATGAATAGTGGGCCATTTACTCTTGTATTTCATTAGGCTTATTTCCTTCAATTTCGATTTGGTCCCTAAATTTAAATACTAGTAGATATTGTTCCATTTCATAAGAATCGTCCAGCTGATGTCACTATGAAGAGAGGGAGAGAATGAGAGAAAGGGAAAGAGAGAGAGAGAGAGAGATGAGGGATAATTGTTATAGTAGATTGGATGAAATTACGCAATTTTCTGAGATTATTGCAAAAGTTCATTGGCCTAGTTGGCTGTTGCGTATGTCTGTTGCAGATGAACCTTTCATCTTTCTTCACTATTCTCGTATATACCCATAAAAATGTTTTCAGAACTGGAGCAAAGAGAAAGAACGGAAAACCGGTTTTCAACCTCTTCCCTACCCTCCTTTCTTCCGTTCGTTCCTCCCCGCCTCTTACCGCCCTTTGGAACGAAGTTCGTTGATCCACTTGTTTCTATTCAATAACCTCTTTGACGAAGTTAAGAAAGATGATCGGGTTATCGTTGTCATCAAATTTTGAAAAGGTCAGTGAACGAAGTTTAGATTTTAAAGGTTAGTAAATAAGAAGAGAGAGGGAGAGAGGGAGAGAAAGAGAGAGGAAGAAGAAAAAAGAGGTGAAAAGAAAAAAGGATGATAGAGAAAAGATTGGATATTTTGGGGACAGGTGACTATTATTTCTCGATTCCGATTACTGAATGGTACAAACAACTTTTCGACCTCTCATTTTTTCCCCTTTCCACTTTTACATATGAAATATATATATATATATATATATATATATACACACACACACACACACAC